AAAATTGAGAGAATTACGGGAGAAACAGACAATTCCACAATCAATGCTAATACCCTTTTCGTAGCAACTGTCAGAACTAAACAACAAAAAAATTAGTAAAAACATAGAGGACATGAATGACACTATCCATTACCTACATCTAATTGAAATTTCTAAAACACTTACAACCAACAACTGCAGAATACAAATTAATTTCAAGAACATGTAGTACATTGACCAAGATAGACCATATTCTGGGTCATAAAAATCAAGATCAGAACAAGGATAAAAACCACTATAAACTGCAACATTTCACTGCCTCTCCTAAGAAACAAAACAATCGTTTTGGGGAAGTAAAAGAAACACTTCTCTCCCCATAGCAGGTGACAAGCGATACTTACTTTGATTACAGGTGCTCAACAAATGTGCACACTGCTCAACAAATAAATCAATAAACAGTCACTTCATTAAGATTGTATGAACAGCCTCAGAGTACCTCAAATTAAAGATAATCGAGAGAGAGAGTATTCACACATTCAATATAGTTTTTGAAAAACACTGTTAGGATTATTTAAATTTACATTTAGGGATTTAATTATGATTGTTCAAATACTTTATTATATTCCTTTGATTGCCTTTTTTATAATCATTTTTCTAGTATTTCTATTAATTTAATTTTAAATCTAGAACACTGAAGTCTCTAAGGAAAAGAGAACGCTTAGACTCAATTTCCATAGCAACTCTAAATTCATCACACTATATTTGTATATGGGAGTTTAATTTAAATACATCAATATATGTGAATTCGTAATGTATCTAAGCTGTGGTTGCTATAGGAACTGCAACTTCAAATTTCCTTTAAGTTTAATAAGTGCTCACACATAAAAAACGATCCCCACCAACGGCTATCTCGAATTGCAGAGAGGGCTCATAGCAATAAATTTACAAACATCATGACTCATGATGATATATGCACTTAATAGATATCTATTATTATGAAAATGTGTATTATTAATACACACTCCTTGTTCGTAGATCAAAAGCAAATCAAGATACAATTCTTCAAAATGTAGAGAAGACTTGCCAGGCAGCCACCCACCCTTACGTGACAGCCTCTGCTTATGGTGAAGCCTGCACATTCTCACAAAAAAGGAATGCACCAAATATGTGGAGTGCATCCATTTTATTCACAAGCAAACAATTTTTTTCTTGCCAGACAGTCCTTTCTTAATTATCAACATGTGGATAATCCATTCCATGGTCAGTTTTCCCACTCTAACATGGTCCCTTTGCCACAAGATGCTCTGGAGCTTCTACTTTCTCCTCTTAATGTATTATTGTCTGGACATGCAAGTTAATTTTAATATTAGTCTAAGGAAATATTTGGGAAGAGAAAAATCCACAGCAAAATGAATCAAGTATTCCAAAGCTAAAGTGAAAAAAACAGTTAAAGACTATCTCGTTTCCTGTTTTCAATTATACCAGCCATTGCTTATTTCCACTAATGCAGATGAAGAAATAACCAAGCCTAGAGGTGGGAACAGAAATTACCCCTGAATGCTACTGACCCGGCATCACTGTGAGATAACTGTGATATAGAGATGTGAACTTCCCAGACAGCTGACCCTCATCTCATCAAACACTTTCATTTCTCTTCAATTTTGGATGGACAAAGTCAGACTTGGTATGAAGAGGATGGCCTTGAATGCTTTCAGAGCAGAGGAAGGAAGGATCGTTTAGAGGGCGTAAGGAAGTTCATGGGGGAGATGATTATAATAGAAAATTAAACAGAAGCTTAAGAATTAGAAGGGAACTCGAGGATATTGATGAGCGCATGCTGGTGTCATACAGACTGTGAGGGCTACTGAGCAGCATGGAGCTATTAAATTCTGTAATAAAAGTCTCAGGCATCTGGGCTGTTTAGTAAGGTTTTGGTTAAGTTTTTTGGCTCTTCTTTTACTGATGCTTTTACTTTCTATTGCTATCAGTGTACTCCTTGCTCCAAAATATAATGTACTTTATCCCCATGTTTGTTATAATTATGTTTAAATTAAGAAAAGCAAAGAGACTCTGGATAGTATCCTAGGAACTCTCACACGTAAAGTATATGAATTTATAGCACAGGTTTTACAACACCTATTCTGACACTTAGAAGACATTCTGGCTTGCATTTTCTTGACTGTATTCCCAAGAGTTGGATATATATAACCTCTAGAAAAATGAGGTCTTACTGTACTTAAAGAAGCCTTTCTCCCATTATAACGTTTAAAACAATGTTCTGCATGCTTTGTATACTTGCTGTAATTTTTTCCACATTGTAGTTTGTCTACTCCACTAATGTCCAAGAGTTAGAACATATTTTTTATAAAAAGGTATGACTGGTTTGACTTCTGAAAATATCCTTTCTCCCTGATTAAGGCCAATTAGGTAAACATGGTCAACGTACTGGAAACAAACATCTCAGGAATTACTACCTTCCGGAACATGAAAAACTAAATTTATTATCTGTTGACCTTACTGTGTTTTCTGAGCTTTGTCACCCGAGAGGTTTAAGATCTAGAAAAAATACGTTCCTCTTTCAGGTTCTTGGACATTCTTCCTATCAAAATGGCACAAGTTTCTCCGTGGCTTTTGTGAAAGACAGATGAGGGAACTCCTAGAAAACGAGGCCAAGGCAGCGTAATGACAGTTCTGTTTGAGGGAGTGGAAGGGTTGGTGCCAATTTAAGGACACATTATGATTGTGGATGAAAAATATTCTGAGGCCTGTCCAACTTCACTATTAAAAACCTGAAAAAGTGGCAGCTGAGTTTTAAGATGAATCTCTACATCATTAACAGCTATAGAAAAGGAATCTTAGGATGAGAAATACTAGACATCCTTGGTTTTCTCACTTTCTTGTCCTCCCACTCCCATCTGTCTGCCAAATCCCCAACTCTGGGGATTTTCTCTTTCCTAGCTCCTAGACTAATAAACGTTTCTAACAAAAGTCGAAGGCCAATTTGAATCATCATAAATTTTTGTTCCCCAAACTCCTTGTGGCTTAATTTTTACCCAACCTCTCTCCAGTGCTTCTGTTCTGAAAAGGTAAATATTCCCTCTCCTCTATACACCTCTTCCAATGCCATTAACCTCATTTTTCCCTTCCAGCTTCAGGGTCATGCACCACCAATTTCCCCACCTTTTTCCTATTATGTATTATTCCTTCTCCATGGACCTTTCTCTCATCTTACAAACCTACTTGTTGTGCTTTGTCCTAAAAGCAAACAAAAACAGATCAAGGACAATACCATTCTCCTTCCAATCTTACTTCCTAAAGCTACTGTCCAGCTTTTTTCCAACATCAACAAAACGTTTTTATTTTTCTCAACGTTCCTGACACGTATGGTGAAGGAGGAATCTATTATTACCAAATCACTTTCACACTTGTCATGTCATGTCCTTGTTAAGTCACTGCAATATAGGTGTATACACTCCGCATTTTAACAGACCAATTCTCTGAAGGGTTATTAATCACCTCCTAGGAGTCAGATTTCTTTGGCCTATTTTCAAGCCTCATTCTATTTGATCTCTACATAATTAATATTCAGCACCGTTGGTGATTCCTCGCTCTAGAAGTTTCCTACTGTTTGTTCTCTGATGCTGAGCTTTCTTGGTTTTTCCCTGATGTTCATTTTTTTCTCTGCTTCCTCTTTGTCCTCTTGCTCCTTAATTGTATATATTCTCAAAGATCTGTACTTAGTTCATTTTACATAAGTTCATTCACACTATGGCTTCAAAGTTGGATTTTTATGCTGTCTCCATTTCCTTCCTCCAATTCCTCAACCCACTCCTGATCCCATCATTCCAGTGAGTGACCCCCGGAATGAGGACTCCAACAGACTCTCCCAGTCCTCCTTTTACTTGACTCCTTGGCAGATTTAGATGCCGTTGACCATTCTGCTCCCTTCCGCTTCCCTGACATGTCATTCCCTCATTTTCTTCCATCTTTCTGGCATCTTCCTTGCTCCTATGTAAGCCCTGCCTTTTCTACCCAAATATTAGTGTTCAGAGTTCCTCCAGGCACTCTCTCTCCCCTTCTCGCTCAGGACTCATTTCCAGCTTCAATTACATGGGTATATGGAAGACCCACAATGTCTACCTCTAGCCTACATTTCTTTGAATTCTGAACATGTGCGTGCATTGTTTAATATTAGTATTGTCATAACCATTTCTATCCATTCTGATTGGAGGTTGGGCATAAATAAGGAATTTGTATTATTTACAAATTAAGGTTGCTGATTTAACAAGTGTGAACACTGGTTTTCGGGATAGAAACAAATGGTTTCAGAGGATTTCATTTTTTTAACTGTCCAGTACCACAACTGCTATTTATAATAGTGACCTTAATTTTATAAGAACACATTCTATTTGGTGAAGTCTGTTTTTTGTTTTTTGTTTTTTGGCAAAGATGTTCATAGTATATTTTAGAAAGGTTTTTATCTACAAAAGTTTAGACAACTCTAAAGTTCTAGGTATTTATCCTCTATGACTTCACTTTTAGACAAAGCTGAATTAATGAAGTCTTACTGAATATCATCACATAAAAATTGGCACTGCCTCTTGTAAGAGAGATAATATAGATTTCATGAATTTCCTTCGAAGGTTTATAGATGATGATCCACACGTAAATGCATTCTTTACTGCCATCAATTAAGCAGTAAGAATATTTTAGTCGAAATCTAAACATACTTTAAATTTCTCAGAAAAAAAAATACAAGGAAAATGAAATATACCCTTGAAGTATTATTTTAACATATAGCTTCAGTGACTTAAAGTGAATAGCTCTGTTTTTTTAAATAGTTAAATCATGATTGTTAGACTTATTATAGAAAGGTCATTGCTAGGAAGATAAATGTGGTCAAACAATAAAAATCATCCAGAGGCATTAAAATGCTGACTGCTGGGAAGAATCGATTAAGCACAGGAAGGCCTGAGTCATTTTCTGAAATGAAAGTGACTCTGATTTCACTGTTACAATACCTGCTGTGGGGGAGTTTGCATGGTGCGACTTTTTTGGCAGGTTGAAGATCTGTTCGCCGGGGTCAGGGGGAGGGATTGCATCTTGCCCTTGTCGTGCTTCTACAGGATCATACTCCTTCCCGTCGTAGTTAGCATCATAGAACTTCTTAAACCACTGAATAAAGTCCAGGTTGTCCTGGAAACGCCCTTTCACTAGCTTCTCCACTGGAATTACCTGCAATATAAAGTTGCCGTGTGAGTCACAAACCTCAGGTTTGTTTGGATTTAATACAACTGAAGTGTTCTCTAAATATAACTATTTCCTGCATGTCTGCAATTCATGACTACTGGTCTCTCCCCCAGCTTCTCAGCCAGCTGTATTCTAGAATTCATATAATTTTTCATCATATTAAATAAGAATGAAAATGTAGCTGGTTCTTTTAAAATATTTGATACTTCTGAACAAACCAGACAAAACAAGGAATACCCTTAGCTGTCAACAGAGGGCTGAACCTCTCTATAGTATGTTTATTACCAAAGCATCTTCCCAAAAAACATGGGCCTGGGTTGTCTGTTTCAAGATTGCTGGGTTTTCCTTATAAGTGTTTCTTATATAAGTGTTCTGGTAACACTTGCTACCAGAAAGTGAGAATGAATGACTCAAATCAGTGAAAACATATACCAACCCAATGGTTCTTATGAAACAAAATGAGCTTTCATAGAGCTTATTTTCAATGTAGAGAGAAGAACCAAAACAACTAACCACAATACAGGGCCCAGTAACTCATGGGCTACACAGAAGCACAGCTAATGTGCTGTGAGCGGGGAGAGGAAGAGAAATGGAGGCTGATTAGGGGAGTCACGGAAGGCACTCTGGAGGAGGAGGTGCACGGCGTTCACCTCAACTTCTGAGACGAACCTCAGGTTTTTCTTTCGTATTGGCAACCTAAAGGGCCAATCAGTATTCCTTTTAGAAGTCTTATAGGACCCTTCAGAATTACGACAGAAAAAGTATGTGGTGTGAATGCTTAGCTTTAATTTAGTGGGCAGCTATTTCTGAAGGAAAATGGAATGGTACCTAGCTACCCAAAGAGCACCATCACCAGATCCTTACCTCTTCATCTTTGGGTTGGAATGCTACGCGAAAGTGAGCCATGAGAGCTAACGTGGGGGAGTCAGATCACGCGTATGCGAGGTGTGTGTATGTGTGTATGAGCGTGAAATTCAGACAGAAACCCCGTGCTCAAAAACTGCAACTTCATTGTGTCATGATATAAAGGGAAACTATAAATTAAATTTTCATCAAGGTGTCGCCACGTCACGCGCTATGTACCATTGATATCCTAAAATGGGTCACCGGGACCACTTAAAAAAAGTAGAAAGACCTCAAATATCAATGACAACTTGAAAGAAAAAAAGCAACCAAAGCATTTTAGGTTATCCACGAAAACACATTAGCAGTACATTTTCTAAAATGTTTTTTATCCAGCTACAATTGAAACTAAGTCAAGTACGGAACAAAATAAAGAGAAGCAAACTCTTGGAGGAGACCGCATCTTTCATGAAGACTCTGCCAGCAATGGAGACTGGGGTGCTGAAAACTTTGCTCCTCTTGCTCCTCCCGAACTTCAGGGAAGGCTGGCCAACCGAATTCCTTCCATATGTGCACTTACCCGACTCTTGACCGTACTACTTAAATATTTCACATCTTCTGATTTAATTTTGAATTCCTATCAAAATGAAAGTTCTAAGGGCATAAATTCAAAATGTGAGGTGGCAAGCAAGTCTTCGTACAGAAGCTTCCCACGTGCTGTCAGGCTGTGACAAACATGAACAGGGACCACTGTCTCTATCCAAAGACCTTTGGAGCATATTAAGCGAGAGAGGCCAACAAAGGTCATCAAGGCCAATCTCCCTCCACTACAAGAATTTTATCTGCAATATTCTTCACCATGGCTCATCCACTGTGTGTATGGATACTTCTGGAGAGATATGGAGCCCCCTAGTTTGTTATATAAGGGAAGTTCCATCAATAAACATATGAATGGGCGTTTCTTTTCAGTCCAGAAGCATGCATTGAGACATGAATGAAAAAGACATAAGTGAGGCTGCTAATAAGTAAGGAGAACCTGTGCAGCTCTGGTTTTGAAGTAGCTAATTGGAAAGTAACCACAGCAAAGGACATAAAGTTGAAAATAATTTGAGAGGTTATGATGTTAAATAGAATATATTTTGAAAAAAAAATTCTGAGAAAACAAGAAACCAAGAATTTAATAATATTTTGATAACATTTTGACTTAGGAAGATATTAATTGCATTAAAAATATATACAGCTTACCAAACTTTTTTTCTTTAACCTCTCTCTCTTAATAACCCAGGATTTATTTCCATAGCCTATTTATTGCTATTTATGCAAAGAAAAGTTTTCTGTTTCTCCCCTTCTGGTTTATTTTTTCCCCTTATTCAAAATGTATTTCTTTCCAAACCTACTCCCTCTAAGAGATATATCCTAAAGAAATAATATGAATTAAATATGTATTTGAATAGCAGGAAACATGAAAACTGAATGGACATTTTAGCAACAGTACTTTATGGGGGAGGGGGGTGGAAAGGACTCCAGTCTAATTCCACCTGTATCATTCTAAGACAAAATTATAAAATTCAAAGGGGAAAAAAGGAAAATTGATAGACACTGACTGAGAATCTGAGTGTATGGACTATGCTGGACATTTATTTTCACATGCATTCCTCACTTTAACTTCATAACCACAGAGAAGGGGGTTTTAGTCCTATTTTACAGATGGGTAAACTTGGACTCAAAGGATTTAAATAACTTGCTGAGATTCAAACCCATTGTGCTTCCACTGTAATATGCTGTTTCTCCAAGAGAACGAACTATACAAAGAACCAAAGTGGCATCTGGCAAACATAAAAATTTGTCATTTGCAACGCTAAAACAGAATAATGTTTTAACATTTGTAATTCTTCTTATAGAGTTTTTAGTCTAATGGTTACAAGTTTAGAAATCTCCTTAAATAAAAACCTCACACAAATACGGAAAGTTTAGGTTGATGCCTTATGCTATGTGCAGACCCCAACCTACTGTTGAGATACCAAGACGTATCCCATTGACATTTTTTTTTTTTTTGGATTTTTGCATTTTAAAGAAAGAAAATACAAGTTAGTCTCCTACCTTATCGACATTCATTCGCTTAAATGATGCTTGCAGAAGTTTAAAATTGTGAATATACTCATGCTCCAACTTTGCTTGAAATTTTACTTTCTTCAAACTAATGCAGCCTGGAAAGAGCATGTCCATGAACTGACAATAGGCCGCTCCTGGAAAGAGACAAGAAAAGTACGAGCGTGAGTCTGTCCCCAGGTACGAATGAGGATTGCTAGGCAGGAAGCAGCCGTCATCACTCCGAGCCCCCACGGCCATGTGTGCCCCTCTCCTCACAACCTCCTTGCCCACCGGGGCTGGGTGCGGGAAGGAAGGGGCAGAGCCTCAAGGTAGCTTCTGCCACTGCCCATTCCTAACCTTTGTGGTACTGATGTGTTCGCCAGAGCATCGCCAGGTTCCATGAACAATGAACACAACCTTATACTTTAATGACACGGAAATTAGGGTAAAACAACTCTTCTTAGGTTCTATCAAAAAAAAAAAGGAATGTATTTTTTTTCTTCCATTTAGCTGCTACTTGTTCCAAGTCATCAAACGTAAGACAAAAATAGCAGAAAATTTATACACGAGGAAGCTACTAAAGTTCTCATGAAATGTGTATTTCAAAAAAAAAATGCACATATGCCCAAGCTGTTTTTTTTCCCCCATCTTATAAAATGACTTAGGTGAAACTATAACTAAGCCATTTAATTCCAAAAACTGTTGTACACCAATTTAATTCCAGTCCAGAGCAATGGGGTTCCTATATTAGCATGAAGGATGAAGACATGGAGACTCTGAAACTTATAGAAGTTCAGAGTCATGCTGTTTATGGCCGACAAATAAAAATAACAGAAATGTTCAATGAGTCCCCTGAGGAAATGGTCATAGAAAAAAGAGTTTATTAGCAAGTCTTCGATTTTTTTAATGAAGAACTCTTAGATCATGACAATTTCAACTAGAAAATCTTAGTCAGATCCTGTTCACTGATTCGTATCTTCTTTAAAGGCTAAAGGCATTCAGAAAAAGAAATTCAAAGCCAGAGGAAAGCCAGAGGAAAAGCAGTTGAGTGCCAAGAAGGGGAATAGGTGGCCATTTTTGTGTTTTCTTTTTCCTTCTTAGCTCCTCAAGATCTCGTGGTCTTTGTCTATAATTCACCAATGACAGGCCTTTCTGGAACACGAAGGGCTCTTTTCACCCTGTGGTGTCAAGGTTTCTGTGAGAAGGCTTTCATTCCACTCGGGCGACTTGACTTTACATGGGAAGAACCCACTTGGTCTCTTATGTCAGATAGATGCTGAACACCCTTTACTGAGATGGGAATCCAAGATAAGAGGGAACCAAGTATCAGGGATCTAAGTGCTGCTAGAACAGGACATGGCGGGGCAACTTACTTATTACAGGCAAGAGCATAAAGTGATGAAACATAGGCCACAATAAGTATGTCCTGCAGAATCTTTACATCTGCGATGCTTCCCCTTAGGTGTGAGTACCTTGAATGCTAACTAGCCAGTCTCTAGTCAAGCAGATGGGTTCTCTTAAAAATGAGGACCTCCCCTCCCGCAAAAACAAACCATCAGAGGAGGTAAGAGAAACATCATGATCTTGGGGGCGTGTTCTTATGGTCTCTGTCCAATTACTCAGTTCTTCCTTTTGAAGTACCAACAGATGGAGTAAATTCTAATAGCCACTTTAACATTATTTTTACAGAAATGGGGATGTCTAAATACAATTATTTGCTCTTTCAAGAGTTACTTTCACTTTTGTAGAGTTTAGCATAAAATTTACCTATGGACACCCAGAAATCCATGCATTCTTACAAAGCAACCAACCAAATCACTTACTTTCCGAATTTAAAAATAACAGCTTTTGAAAAAAAAAAGAAATCCACCAAACTTCAATAGAGGGAGGACGGCAAGGAGGGAATGAAGAAAGAAGGCAGGCAGGCTTGTCTCTAGTCATCATCCAGAGAAAACCACTGTTTATGTTCTGGTATGTATTTGTTTTTAAATTTAATGGACCATGATTCCCTTTCTGAATCATGTACTTTTCTTTACTGACATTTTTGATGGCTTTCTGATTTTTATATCATGCTTAGCAACTTTCCCAAACCAAGATTACATAAATATTCACGTGTATTTTCTTCAAATACTTTTATGGTTTCAAGTTTTACATTTATATTCTGAATCCATGTGGAATTTATTTTGGTCTATGACATACAGGATGGTTCTAATTTTAGTTATTCCAAATGTTAGCGGAAATCTGTCATTTTTGGCTCCCTTGCATTTGGACACCCTCTTATCTGAGTTGATGCTACAGTTCCCTGTCTTCCACCACAGGAGTGAAAGTGGGCAGACATCCCTTTCCCTATCCCCAGTAGTAAAATGCTACCTTGTGACCTAGGCTCTGCATTTAGATGTTCCTGCCTCGGTCTCAGAGTCTTGAGGGAGAGACAGAAACATGGAGGGACCATAAGAATTTAGTCACGGTGGCAGTGGTAGGGTCTGGAATCCTGAAGCAGTGGTAGCAACAAAGTGGCATCCTAACCATCCTAGCTCAGTGGCATAAGGCAGGCTCTGTTCCCATCTCCTTAGCATCATTTGGTTGCTGTCGTCTTCTGAGCTTGGTTTCCCATTGATGCTGGGTAACCCAATATCCTTCCTTAAAATTCATCTTCTACCAAACTTTCCAGGATTATTTTCTGCTATTTTTAAGTTGAAATACCAACTGATAAAGTTAGCTTTATAAAGGTTGAACACCATATTTCACCAATGTTCTATACTTTTCCCACTGAGCAGCAGTATCTTTACTATGTACTACCTTCCTAATACATGCATTTAGGTCTCTTTCTAGACTTTGTCTTTCTAGACTTTAATTTTTTTGTCTGTCCCGTTATTTAAATACAATTAATATGTATTACTATCTGTAGAATAATTTTCCCTCTCCTCTTCCTCAAAAATTCCTTAAATTTTATTCTGCATTTATTCTTTCCGTTATATTTTTTAAATTTGTCATTCATGGCATATAGAAAATAAATTTTCTTTAAAAATTAGTCATTTACTATTTAATAAAAGAACTTTATTAAGATAATTCACATATCACAAAGTTTGACCTTTTAAAGTATAGTTAGTGGTTTTTAATATAGTCCCAGAATTGTGCATACATCACCACTACCTAATCCCAGAGGATTTTAAATTACCCGCAAGAGAAACTCCATACCTATTAGCAGCCATTCTCTATTCTCTCCTCCCCGCAGGCCCTCGTAACCACTAATCTATTTTCTATCTCTCTGTATTTGCCCAATCTGGACATTTAAGGTAAATGGACTTATGAAGTATGTGGCCTGTGTCTGTTTTCTTTCACTTAGCAAAATCTTTCAAGGTTCACCCATGTTGTGGTGTGTATCAGAACTTCATAAATCTTTTCATAGTTGAATAATATTCCATTGTATGACTATATTACATTTTATTGATCCATTCAACAGGTGACAGACATTGGGTTGGTTTCACTTTTGGGCTATGGTGAACAATATTGCTGTGAACATTTGTGTACAAAGTTTGCATGAACGTAAGTTTTCAGTTCTCCTGGGACATACCTAGGAGTATAGCAATTCTATTTTGAGGAACTGCCAAATTGTTTTCCAAAGGATGTGCACCATTTTATATGCCCACCAGCAATACATGAGGGTTCCAGTTTCTTCACATCTTCACCAACACTTATCGTCTAGCTCCTCGACTCTAGTCATCCCAGCAGGCATAAAGTGGTATCTCACTGTGGTTTCGATTTGACATCCCTAGTGACTAATAATATTTAATATCCTTTTCATATGTTTTTGAGCCATTGTGTATGTTCTTTGGAGAAATGTTTATGTAAATCCTTCGCCCAGTTTTAAATTGGGTTATTTTCTTGGTAAATTGTAAGAATCCTTTCTACGTTCTAGATATGCCTCTTATCAGATATGTGATTTGCAAGTATTTTCTTCTGTTCTGTGGATTGTCTTTTTACTTCTTTATGCTATCCTATGAAGCACAAAAGTTTTGAATTTTGATGAAGTAAAGTTTATCAATTTTTTCTTTTGTCACATCTAAAAAGCCATTGCCTAATCCAAGGTCATGATTTACAGCTACATTCTCTTCTAAAAGTTGTAGTTTTAGTTCTTAATTTAGGTCATAATCTATTTTGAATTAATTTTTGTAAATGGTATGAGGTTTGGGTCCAACTTCATTATTTTGCATTTGACTATTCAGTTGTCCTTGCACGATCTGTTAAAAAGACAACTCTTTCCACCATTTAATTGTCTTGGCGCTTTTGCTGAAAATCGATTAACTATAAATGTATGGGTTTATTAATTCTAATCCATCTATATGTCTATCCTTATGCTAGTAACATACTGTCTTGATTACTCTGGAGTCAGTTTTGAAATCAAAAGTACAAGTCTTCCAATTTGTTCTTCCTTTTCATGACTGTTTCAGCTATCTTGGGTCCCTTGCATTTCAACATTAATATTAGGATCAGGTCATCAATTTATATAAAAAAGGCAGCTGAGATGACAACACTTCCCTAATTAATTTCTAGAGTCAATATTAAGTCTTCTAATCCATGAACATGGGTTCTCTTTCCACTTATTTCTTTCAATGATGTTTTAAAGTTTTCAGTACATAGATCTCGCATTTTTTATTACTATATTATTCTCTTTAATGCTAACGTAAGTGGAATTGTATTCCTAATTTTATTTTTGGATTGTTCACTGTTAAAGCACAGAAATATGATTGATTTTTAGATATTCATTATATCCTGCAACCTTATTTCATTTACTAGTTACAATAGTTTTCTGGGGGGTTTCTTAAGATTTTCCACATACAAGATCATGACAAATAGTTTTACGTCTTCCTTTCCAAATTGAATGCCTCTCATTTCTTCCTCTTGTCTAACAGCCTTGGCTAGAACCTCTAGTACAATGTTGAAATAAGTGCTCAGCGTGGACATTCGTGCCTCATTCAAGGTCTTAGGGGGATCTAGTTTTTCACTGCCTAGGATGATGTTAGCTGTGGATTTTTCACAGACAGCATTATCAAGTTGAGGAGGTTTCCTTCTCTTTCTAGTTTGTTTAGTGTTATCATGAAAGCATACTGAATTTTATCAAATGCTTTCTCTGCATCTACTGAGATTAACATAT